CCACTGTGGCTCCGGAAGCAACAGCGTGCGATTGTCCAGCCTCTGCGGTCCCTCCTACTTGGAGCCATTCTTCTGCATTCACTCTTTGTCAGACTTCTGTGACCTTGAAAGTTTTAAGGAGTGAAGACCTTGCATCCTGTTGGACATCCCATAACCTGGTCCGTCTGATGCTTTGGGGGCTCCTCTGCACCTTCTCAGTGCCTCACACCCTGCACCATGCAGTGCAGACCTGTCCTTCCATCGCAGAGGTCACTCGCATCACCTGGACACGCGTGGTCTCCAGGTTGCCCCACTGCAGTTTCCATTACTGACCAGTGTGTCATCTAAGTTTCCCTGGGTGTCTCGCCCGCCACCAGCCTCCCTTTCCTGTCACCAGCCAGGGCTCACTTGGTGCAGTTGCCTGGGTTGTACTCACCATCGTCCTTCCTGGCTTTGGTTCTCAATTTATCCCATTGTGGCCTAGGCGCGCCCTCAGGTGACGCCTGTGCTGTTCCTCAAGTCCCCTCAATCTTCCAGCTCTTCCTAATGTTTTGGTACAAGATGTTCCAGATTCATCCTAGGCAGCCCCTGCTTCGCCCCAAGGATCAGCCCTTTCTCCAGGTGGCTATGAGTCCATCCCAGAGGGCAGGGTTTAGGATCTGGACCTGGGCTTGCTGCATTGCTCCCCAAGACTTCCTTGTGTTTGAGGCCCTCTCAGTAGAAAAGATAGAAAAGATGTGGGCACGCAAACAAATAAAATGAAAATATGTGGATATACTGCACATAGGCATGTGCAGCGGTTTCCATGTCTGCCCATGACTGTGGTTCAGACTAAGCATTGCTCAGTTCTGGCTCCCCTCCCCTTCCATGACTGTAAAGACCAGGCTGGAGTGACAGGCAGGAGGCGCCACTGTGGTGGTGCCAGCCCTTGTTGGGCTCTTCTTCCCTCGGCCCATTCCTTCCTTTATTCCCTGTGCACATCTGAGGCCTGGAAAGCCTGGTAGTCGGTGCTGAAGGTGGTGGTGGTGGGAATAGGCACCCAGGACTTGGTCCCTGCAGAAGTGAGGATGGCCTGGCTGGCTGGAGGGAGTGGGAACGCAGAGGAGGTGTGTGAGGGAGACAGACACCACCAGGGAGAGTCACCAGGGCGTGGATATGCAGGAAGAGGACCAGTGAAGGCCCCTAATGGAGCAACAGGTGGGATAGGATGGTGTCTTTGGGAGAAAACGAGTTTGATCTTAGATTTGCTGAGTTTTATGGTTTTCTATTTATGTTCACAAAAAGGATTTCAAGTGGCTTCTGAATAAACAAATGGAGGCTTCTAAACTTGGCTTTAATCAGATGCGCTTTTACTCTGATCCTGTGGCAGGTGACAGGCACAGTGACGCAGTGTCATGCTGAGGGACACTGAGGCCTGGGGACTGGGGAGCTGGGCCTGTGCAGGGAGCTGGCTGGGTCTGCAAAGTGCCTGCAGAGGGCAGCCGGGACCCGCCGAATGGGGAAGATGCACCAGGCAAGATGTGGGTGGAACAGCTGGAGAGGGAACAGCAGCCCTGCTCAGCAAAGGAGAGCGGCTTTGGTTGCCGAAGTCCAGCCTGTTAGAGGATACCCAGAGCCTGGCTGCTCGTCACCACCTGCTTTTCGTTTCAGGTCCTGGCCACCTTTAGAGCTTGCGTGGAGATCAGTGACCTGAGTATTCCTGGTACCTGCTGTTCTACAAGTCCCCAGCAGAGCGGCCGGGGGATCCTGTTAACTATCATTTGGATCACACCCACCTCTGCTCAGAGCCCTTTCATGGTTCCTATTTCCCTCAGTGTCAGCAAAACCCGCAGAATGGCCTGTGTGGCTCTGATGACCAGCCCTGCCCACCCCATATCCTTGGTTTGCCCTCAGGAGTGCTCCTTAGACACAGAGGCGTGTACTGTCTCAGGGCCTTTTCACGGATGGGGCACACCCTCTGCCTGGAACACCCAATCAGTGATCAGGATGTAATCTGGGGAGCCCAACGAGGTGCCTTTAGTAAAATGGGAATAGGATACTACTTCCTGTTGCCAACCAGTGGCAACACTGGCGATGAAATGGGAGTGGCAGTACAGTAGCTCATGGCCATGGAGAGCGGTAGTAAGAGGTACTTAGAAGTTGGACGTGGTGACTAACATGGTAGTGTTGCTGCTGACAGCCCTGTGCCTGTTTCTAACACAAAGAGAAATGATCTTACATGTCCATTCTTTCCCAGGCGAGGAGAGTGTAGACTTTTGCTAAGCATGGGTATTTCCTGGGATAATTTACATTTTCCTTTGGAATTTGCTGAGAATGTGACTTTTGGTAGCCAGTGCACCATTTCCAGTGTTTGATTTCACATGATCAGCTCTTGTTCTCTGAGGACCTTCATCTGGGTGTGAGGGAGGTGAGTGTGCTTTGGAGTATGGCAGATGGCAGAGAGGCTGGGCTGGGTTCTTTCTCTGGCAGCACTGAAGGGTACTGCTCATAACAGCCAGTCCTTTGGACACTTATTAAGTTCTAGGGATGACGCTGGATGCTTTGTGTAGATTATCTGTTAATCCTCAGAATACCTCATGCTGTAGTTTCTATTATTAACCCCATTTGTTACAGATTAAGAAGCTGAAGTTTAGAAACGTTAAGTACCTTGGAGGGCAGACAGCTAGGGATAGCTAAGTTGGGTAAAGACAGGTTTTCTGGCCCTGGCCTGTCTTTACCACCACATTATGACTAGTAGTGGATTATGTTAGAACATACAATTTAAGGGCTGTATTGCTTTTCACTAAAGTTTCACTTTCACAGAGCAACAGATGAAGTATAAGAAGTAAGCCATGTGGTGTGTGGTCCAGGAAGACCAACCTGACCAGCCCCGCTGTATATTGTAAGGGTGAGGCTGATAAACCCTGGGACTTGGTCTGGACGGGTGACATTTTCTCGCCCCTCAGAGTGGATCTTTGCTACATTCCTTTAGGCTGGCTCTGGCTGTTGGTTCCAGTGCATTTGTAAAGTTTACAGGAAGGTACTCAGCGGACAGCCTTGGAGACAGGGGCTTGTGGCTGTGATGCCCATTCACTGCCTTTCCTTCAGCTGGCATGTGCTGTAGGGTGGGGCTGTGGAGGGAAAGGAGTTGGGTCGAGAGCGCTCCGTGACTGGGGTTAGCCTGGCCCGTGATCAGAGGCTTTGTTCAGAGTGAGCAGCTTGTGGAAACACTGCTTGCATTTAGAACAGGATTCTGGGAGGCCTGGGAATAGGCTGCTGCGGAAGTGACCTACAGAGCCCTCGAACGCGCCGGGGCTTCTGTGATCTAGGATAGAGCTTGAGTGGGCAACAGGTGCTCACAGAGGGCAGTGGCCACCTTGGGGTCTCGGGCTGCCCCAGTTTCCCCACCCTCGACCCCAGCAAGGTGCAGAGGTTTGTGGTCACAGTGCACCAGCCCAGAAGGAGCAGCAGGATGGAAGCAGAGGGATGCAGTTTTGGATCCAGTCTTTATTAGCTCTATAGGAAACTTTCCAAAAATTGCTTAGGCATTTGGTTATGAAGGTGGGTTCCCCCTGAAGGGGATTCCAGTTTCCACAACTTATTTTTTATGTTGTTTTACATATATTCTGTATTTGTATCTTCTCTCAGGAGACCTAAGTCATTAGAACAATCAGGGACCCTGCTTTACAGTAGAAGCTGATATGTGGTCATCACCAGCAAGGAATCTGAACACTGCTCCTGGCTGTAACCCAATATGCAAGTTTTGAGGGAACATTCTGTTTTTTAGATTAGTTTTATTGGCACACGTTAGGTATACATTATGATCACATTCACAGTAGGGAATTTGTACCTGTATATGATATATCTTGCTTCTTTTTTTCCCTAATTCTCTCTCCTCCCTTCAACTCCCTACCCTTTCTCATTTACAAAAGCTTTTCCTTCTCTTCTCTTTTTTCTTCTCCCTTCCTTCCTTTCCACCTCCTCCCTCCCTTGTTCCCCTTCCCACTTGAACATTTTCTTCCTAATTCACAATATCTGTTATACATTTTGGTCCTTATTTACCCTTTTGGTTTTGCACACCAGAGAAAAATGTGATATTTAAACATGTGTGTCCATGTGTGTCTTATTTCACTTAAGAGTATGGTTTCAAGGTGCACCCATTTACCTAGAAATGTCTCAAGTTTGTCCTTCTTCATGGCAGAGTAGTACTCCATTGCAAAAAAAACCCTGCATCTTCTTTATCCATTTATCCATTGATGGCCATTTGGGTTGGGAAACATTCTTAAAATTAACTCTTGGGCACTGAATTTTTTTCAACTGATTCTATAGAACCCATGAAGTTTGAGAGGTTTTCCCAAATGATCACAGTGGTTTTAAAGGTAATTAGTATTAAGTGTCCCTCTGGAGTAAGGGTCATGACTCTGCTTGGAGTGTAAGTACAGAGGCTATGGCCTCCCTGAGCTGGAGGGATGAAGGGGTCTTAGTCACTTTTCTCATTGCTGGGATAAAATACCCAACACCCACGACTTAAAGAAGGGGAGGTTTATTTTGGTTCACGTTTTAGAAGTTCCAGCCCCTGCAGGATTGGTGGCATGGTGGTAGGGCCCAGGCGGAGGAAAGCTTCTCGCCTCATGGAGAACAGGAAGCCCTGAGAGAAAGAAGGATCCGGGGAGGGAGATGCACCCTTGCAGGCCACACACCCAGTGACCCACCTCTTCCTGCAAGACCACACCTCGCCAAACGAAGCCAGCTTCAGTGTTTCATAATCCATTCACCTTGCACAGCCCCACCTCTGAGTGTGTGAGGCGCCAGGGGCCACCCAGATATGAATCACAGCAAAGGGGAGAACCATGCCATTGGGGTGGCAGGCAGAGCTCAGAAGCTCAGGTGCTTTGTATAGGAGACAAATGCTGGCCCAGAAAGCAGCCCTTCTGTGTACTGCTGGTGCAGGCAGGCTGGGCCTGGAAGGGGAGTCTCTGGATCCCCTGTTGATTCTGAGTGTCATGGTCCTCTTTTCTTCTCTCATTGCTGTGGATTTCCAGCTGAGATGCTGAGACAGAGGTTGGAAGACCTGGAACAGGAGCCAGGCCACCTGTCTATGATGCTCCCATCCCTACAGCCAGCCCTCAGCAGCTTCCTGGGCCACCTGGTGGCACAGGCCCAGGCCGTCCTGCATCGAGCTACCCAGCTGTGAGTACCTGGATCACCACCTCTCTCCTCACACTTTTCTTCTTGCAGTGAAGAGCTGGGAAGGGTTGGCTATCAAGACCCTCATCTACTTTTGTTTGGGGCCAGTCCCTGGTTTTGGAGTCTTTTCCTATGGAGAACTGTTCTCTAAATGGACAAGTTCTCACATGGTCCTCTTAGAGCAGGTCACTCCCACTTCTCCTCCCTTCTCCTCTGACACTTAAGTGTCACCTTGTCCCTCTTCCTTTTTCACATGACACCCTTCCCTACTTGACTTTCTACCTAATTCTTCTTTTGGTTTAATCTTTGGGGTTATTTCTTGCTCTCCGCCGCAGTCTACTTTGTCAACTTATTGTGTTCCTATTTAACAAACATGTGCAGAACAGTTACTAAGGGCTTTAGAAATAACTAATTGAATTAAAAATTTTTTATTGAAACAAAATACAGATAACATTTACCTCTTAAATCATCTTTAAGTGTACCAGAGCTGAGGCATTAAGTACATTTGCAGTGTTGTACAATTACCCCCATCCATCTCCAGAACTTTGTCATCATGCAGAACTGAAGCTCTGGCCCCATCAACCACTCCCTCTGCATCCCCCTTCCCAGTCCCCAGTAACCACCTCTGTCATTTCTGTCTGTAAATTTCACTATTCCAGGGACCTCATAGAAGTGGGCTTATCATCATTCAGAATCTATCCTTTTGTGATTGCCTTTAGGATAATGTCCTCACCTTCCTTCATGTTGTAGCCTGTTAGAATTTCCTTCCTTCTTAAGGCTGAGTAATATTTCGTTGTACATTTAGACCCGTATTTGGTTTATCCATTCATGTATTGATGGGCAAAAAGCACTCATTTAACAGTCATAGTGATTCTGGGGGTGGTATTTTGTATATTGATAGCAGAGTGCACATAGATCTGTATCAACATTATTTTTCCATATCTGGACCTCAGGAAGAGGAGACCAGACCTGGGAGAGACTGAGGGCTCGGGCAGTCCCCGGAGGTGAGTGCTGAGGCAGACACAGTATGGATGTTCAGCTGATGTCCCAGCTATGACCCAGTGCACTGGGCTCCCGCCTCAAGGCTGAGCGGCAGAGGCTTCTGTTATTGTCTCTTTAGCCTGACATCAATTTGGATGGAGAGTGATGCTACGGCCTCGGCTGGATCCCTCATAGAATTTGTTTAACTAAAATAAGAGAGTGTCCTGCATTTTCAGTTGTATTAGGTTACACCACGGGCCAGTGCTTACATTTGACCATTTTGGGACCTATCAAAATAGCGATTTCATAGGGTTCACCTTGGCATGCCTTCCCAAAAGTACAGGTCTTTATTGAATATTTGTTAAGCCAGTTTTAATTAATGCTGGCTTACTTGTGGGCTAGCACCTTCTCTCCTTTTCCTCATGGGAGTTACCCATTTGCTGTGATTCATGTCCCATTCACTTTTGAGCCCCCGTGACCTGTGTTCTTGCTGTCGCTCCCCAGATGTCCACCGTGGTCAGCCATGGGCTTCTGTGTTTTGAACTTGAGTGGCGCCTTCCATTCTTATTCTGCTTGGTGTCAGTGCCTGCGACTGTAGTCACATCTGTGCTTTGGACTTTGTTCTGCCCTCTTCTGGTCCTGCTGCCTCCAGCCATCCCCTTGCCCCCACACCCAGGTCCTGCTCCTGCATGCACACCCCAGCATCCCTCCCCTGTGCGGTAGGCTGTGTTCTGTCATGAAATGGCGCCCTCTGTGGGTCAGGTGCCATCTGCACAAGGTCCCATTGGAGCGGCAGCTCAGGTAGTCACTGCCTGTGGGGCATCTCCCTCAACTCCACTGGGTAATTTTATCCATTAAAATGCACTCTCTTTTTATCCTTGCCTTTCTGAAGTTTACTATCTTTAAAAAGCCCTTAGTGTGCCCGTGTCTTGGCCTCGTGACCTTGGCCTGTGCACTGACCCCGTGAAAACTCTGAGGTGTCCTCCCCCTCCCTTCCCTACTCCTTGGCCTGGCAGCCACCGATTCCCATTGCCACTCCTGTCCGCCTCTCTCTCATCCCTGCACACTTCTCACCTCCATGACAATGCCTTCCTTTCAGTCTGTGAATATCCTGGGTGATGCTCCTGACCACATCATGGCTCCTGCTCACCTGCTGACCTGTGGCATCTCCAGTGCCACAGATGGGGACTTCAGGCCGTGCTCAGTGGCTTCCACTGCAGTCAGGGCAAACTTTGTGCTCTCAAAGTGACATTCGAATCTCTGCCTGGCACTGCCACATGGCTGAGAGCCCTCCTGTGCCCTGTATGTTTCCACGTCCACCAGCATGTGCTGTGCATTGTCACCAACTGTTGATCATCCCTTGAGACAGTGAAGCTGCCCTCCCCCCAGTGCCCTGCCCATCAGCCGCATGTCATCCTGTGACTCTTTGCAGCTTGAGTGGCTGCACCTCTGTCTTAAGTTTTAAGTCTGTTTCTCAGAATGTGTGTTCCCTTTGCTAGACGACAGCTCCTAAGGACCAAACTGTCCTATGTTTGCCTTTGTCACTGAGTTTAGAAGCAGTGTCTCACATGTATGTACACATGATCACAAACTGATGTGACAGGGGAAGAGAGATAGAGAGGAGAGCGAGGGGAGACTTCCTCAGTCTCCCTGAGGCCCAGTGAGCGGAACCTGCCCCCGAGATCGGGAACTTACCTTCTCCCCTGTCTCCTCCTCTGCCCACTGAGCGTGGCTTGGTGTGGCCCCCTATCCTGTGCACCCCTTACTTCCTTCATCAGAAATGGAAGGGTTGGGTTAGGTCCCTGCTTTCCAGTCCTTAGTTAATTACATATTGTCTCGGCTTTTCTTTTGATAATTCACCTGTCTTGTTATTGCCATGCCTAGAAAAAAATGACTTGAAAACTATTTCTTTATTACATCTTTATGATGCATGCTAACATGATTACAAAGTTGCTGATAATGAAGGACTCCAGTCCTTGAAACACCAGCTGCTCTCGTGGCCCGTGACATCTGCCCCGATGTGGGGTGTGGAACTGGCAGGTTCTGGACAGGGGGACTGCAGTTCTCATAATGGCCACCAGAGGGCTCCCCAAGACACAAACCTCAGGATAGGGCTTTGAGTCCTGGGAAACAAGACATTTTCAATGAATGGCCCTTTTCCTGTGAAAATAAAATAGTTGTATTAATGTGGCCAATTTTCAACACTAACTAAATTCACAGAGAAGTACCTCTTAACCTTTCTGAGGTCAAGTGTTTGAGACTCTGATGATAACTATAGACATCTTCAGTCATGGCCCGTGTACGTTTATACAGGCAAACTGCAGGGTGCAGTATCAGAAGATCTGGGGCTGAGCCAGTCACTCCTGGGGTGCGGGGAATCTTTGGATCTTAGGAAACTTTAGAGTGAGATTTAAGGAAATGTATACACCCAGGTATAGCCAGCTACTTTAAAAAATTATTTTTTAAAAACCACCATTTAATTAACTTTTTAATAAAAACACATTTACGTCTCAGAACTTGGGCTGGGTTATAGCTCAGTGGTACAGTGCTTGTCTAGCATCTGTGAAGTCCTGAGTTTCATTCCCAGCAACCCCCGCCCCCCCGAAACCCCTTTACCTGAACTTGAACTTGTTAGAATGGCATCCTGAGTCACCCGCTTTGTGACCACCCTCAGGGGTCAGCATGGGCCTCTGATAGTGGACGTCAACAGGGACAGATGTGAACAGGTTCTGTGGTTCTCCTGTCTGTGTGGAGTCGACCCTTCTCCTGTCTCAGCTACGTCTTCGTCAGATGGCAGAAGTGTATGGGCCGGTCCTGTCACCGATCTCCATGCAATCCCGTCCACTTGGAAACCCCAGCTGCAGGTCCAGCTCAGAGCTCTCCTGTCCTGCTTTTTGATCCACTTCCCTCTCACCCCACTGTTTGCATGTAAAAACATAGGGGGCCCTCTGTATGCGGGTGTTGACGTGGCCATGCTCCTGTGGGTCAGGTGTGGCTCCCCAAGGGCCCTCCCTGTGGCTCAGACCCTGACATGGACGTGACTTCCCCCAACCTTGGCAGCTACCACCGGCACCATGGCTCTGCCTCCCCCATGAGGCCTTGTGCCTGGTGGGGATAATGCCTGTGATATCCCCTGCTTGGTGGCAGGTTGGCACACTACCATATGGCTGAAGGCTCCCAGGCTCCCCTTAGCAGGCCCTGAGGGCTCACCCTGCCACCCATTTTAGTCATTTAGTTGGGCAGTAAGTGCCACATGACTGCTGAGACCCCAGATGCCATGGGCCAGCTTGGCTGCTGAGTTCTTCTGTAGCTGGGGACATTTTTGTGCTCATGGCCACCACTCACTGGGGCACCCACAGTTGTCCAGGTTTGTCTGCCAGAGGCTTCTCTGTGTAGAGAGGGGGCAAGAGGCTGCCCCGGGTGCAGCCTTATCAGTGTCTCTGCTGAAGACTCTTGGGGTATAGTTTTGAGACGTGCATCACACAGTTTTTTTCTGGAAGGCTCATGGTAAGTCTGGGCCTCGGCTGCCCATATGGCAATCAGCTTGATAATACACTGTTGTCCACTTTCTGTTCTGCCCCCCCCCCCCCCTTTTTGTTACCAGGGATTGAACTCAGGACCTTGCGCTTGCAAGGGAGGTAGCAGCACCACTGAGCTAAATCCTGACCCTTTTGGCTCCCTTTCTCTGGTTTCGGGGAATCATTTCTCCAAGACAACCTGCTCTCAGATCCTTGTCTCAGACTCAGCCATTTGAGGAACCTAAAGTCAGACAGCGGCTCACAGTGGAGAGAGTGGGCATCCATCGATCATTATGGGCGAGTCCAGTGGCTCCTGAGTTTCTTGATTTCAGTAGGCAGTTTGCTTCCTCCTTGCTTCCTGGGGTGGGCAAACACCACTCCTGGAAGCTGCTCGTCCTGCTCTGCCAGTGGGTGGTCAGTGCTGTCCAGTGGTGGCCAGTCAGGATCAGGACCAGGGTGCTGCCTGAGCAGCCCCAGGGGTGGAGCCCTAGGCCAGCTGGGAAG